TGGTCTTTTTGTGGCGCCCCTGGAATTTGTCTTCACTTGGAAATGAGGGTTTCACAGCCCTTTGTGGTGCCTCTGGGATTGGTGCCTCCTGCAAATTGAGTTCATGGTGCCCCAAAAAGAAAGGCCTTTGGTGCCCTCGGTCGAGAGGGCTAGTCCAGAATTTCGTGAGGGTGGAAGACGAAGAAATTGTGGTGCCCCTATATCTGGTGTCACGTGAAATTAAGTCCACGGGGCCCTTTGAATCATCCACTTAAGTAGGATGCCCTTAGAGAACAATGCTATTGTGCCCCGAAATCGATGTTTTGGCGCCCCTTCGCCGAATGGCCGTACGAGCGTTGTGTCCATGGAAAGGCACGGGCATTATGGTGCCCGTTGGAATTTGCTGCCCGTTGAAAATGAAGACCCTGGGGCCGTTTGTGCTGCCAACTGGAAATGATATTTCTTCGCAATAAAGGTTTAGGAATGCCCCGAAATGAATGCTTTGGGCTCCATACACCAACCGGACAAATCCAGAATTTGCCAAGATGAACGGTAAAGCAACTGTGGTGTACTGGATTTGCATTCCCTTGTTAGATAAAGGCACTGGGCTCTTTAAATGCCCCGCTTTGATTTAGTGCCTTTTGAAAATAGCGGTTGTGGTACCCAGAAATGAATGCTTTGGTGCCCGGTCAACATGACATTTTGGTGCCCTCTCGAAGCACCAAAACCTGGTGGGGCCTAAGGGGGGGGGGGGCGTGGCCCCATGACCCCCCTGGACCTGCCCCTGCAAATAATTATATCAGTGCCCTTGTGCAGAGTCTTTAATGACGCAGAATAAATATTAATGTGTGGAGAGGACAGAATGGAACTGACTGAGAAAAGAATGGAGAAAATTCCAGGGCTGGGTTGGTGAGAGCCCCAGGGCTGGGTTGGTGAGAGCCCCAGGGCTGGGTTGGTGAGAGCCCCAGGGCCCCGTATCGCTTTCGCTGATCTTCGAGCCATAGTACGCCCAACTCCGCGAATATCTCGAGCATGAAATGAAAGGTGCAAGATTCTAAAGCCATGGCCAAGAAGTTATTTCCGACAACAGAAATCACAGCGAGTATCGGGACAAAGGCTTATTAAAGACACGACTTACCTACCTGCCTGTAAGACGGTTTTCTCTTAGCATGACACCTCATGTAAATGATGCTTTTTTATTTTGGCCTGAACCTGTTTAATGTAATGTTTAGCATTGCAAATTCGTGCTGAAAAATAAAAATAAAACACGAAACATGGACCCTGTCGTAAATGTAATTTACTCGTGACCCTCCCAAACAGGGGCTCAGCTGAGGAGGGCGGGGCTCTCAGCCTATATTTTTAGTTTCTCTCCACAGATG